TTTAATTAATTGGTATTAATTTAATCGATTAATCATTTCTAGTATGATCATTATATTTGTAACTAGTTTTCAAAGTGAATATACATTCACGAATTTAACTAGTCATCCTTATCGAATTTAGTATTTTTACTTTCACTTAATTTTTTTTATATCAATGGATTTAAAAATCCATGTTTAAGTTGGGAGCGGTGTTACTTCAATCTATGCAATCTCATCTGGGCACATCTAAAAAAGGAAAGCGTAGCCAAAGGTGCCATTGTCATGGGTGGGGTAATTATGCACTTGGCAAGCAAGTTCGGGTATACGGATAACTCTCCTATACCCGACTATTGTTTGATGGACATAGGTTGGTTAGGCCGCTCGGGATGCGTCTCTTTTTCCCATACGGTGTATATTGGGGACTGTTGGATAATTGATACCCATATTGTATAAACAGGAGAATTTGAACAATAATCAAGAAGAAATAAAGAGAGAGTATAGAATGAATATTGGTATTTGTTGTTGAGTTGTAAGCCTCCTATAAGGAGTATATATAGGGAAAATCCGGGTGTGGGCCTCTAATATGGGCCTGACAGACCCGGTTATATAAATGGACTGATAGTATAAAAAGCTAATCTAGAACATCTGAATAATAATAATAATGTACAATAATATTAATGATATCCGCTAAACGTGTGTGGGCCGCTGTCCAGGCCTAGTAGTCGGCATACCGGGGGGTCGGAGTCCATATAATCCATCAGGAGTCCCCCACTCCCTGAGTCGAGAGTACTCGAGGCGAAAGGGAGTAGTCCAAACTGTATCTGCAACGTTCTTCCTCTTCGGACGGGGGACCACCACCCTTGTCCATTATGGGGAGGTGCCTCGTTAAAAACCTTTACTAGGAAAAACCCAGTGGGAAAAAATCCTAATAAAGGGAAAAAGAGTACACCTAGCGCCCCCAACATGAAACAAGGAAGGTAAATCCCCTCCGGCATAATCAATCTAGCTCAGCTCCTCTTCAACTGACTCAGCTCTCGTTCCTGCTTTTGCGTGGTATTTTCTGCTCATCTAGAAACTCTGACCCCTCAGTCCCCCAGTCCCCACTCTTTGAGGCGAGTGGAGACGAGGTGAAAATGAGTAAAGTCATCTTCGTACCTACACATTTATCATACATATAAAAAAATTTCTTGGGATTTATGTTCCCGATCGGGAGTTCGTCACTTGAAACAAGTGGAGATGTGAATTGTTAATGTAATGATAAAATACTTAGTAGAATGGATGTGTGAGAAATTCGTAAGCAACGGTCGCCACTCGAGGAATGACTAAGACCGGTCTTCGTACCCGACTTGGTCGGGGTTTTGTCTTCATGCCCGACTTGGTCGGGGCTTTGTGTGACACCGCACCCGAACGTCCTTGAAAATTCGATTTAAAAATTCCAAAGTGATGTATTGAATTTCCGATTTCAAAACAATGGAAGAAACGATTAATATTTTACGAAGTATATGATTGAATATTGTATTGTTCAAACCCGCATTCGTTTGTAATTTTCATAATGTAAATTATTGGGATGAGCCTACACATATTGGAGATCAATAATGTGATTTAGGAAGTTGACTTGTTCTAAATAAATTAGGATGAGTACAAAAAGACATCTTTTGACAAAGATAAAACAATAGGACCCATTTTCCCCATTTTTGGAAGTATTGGTAGATAATTTGGATCCCAAATTAATTGGGATCAATTGGGAACCACTCCACATGATTAGAGTACCTACAAAACAAGAAAATTAAGTGAGGAGACTTACCTTGGCCGCACCAGCTGGAGGAGGGCTGCACAAGACTTGATTGGAATCAACCTTGAGACCCACCTTGTCAATTTCCGCACAAAATGGTGTGCTGTTTGTCTCCACTCATTATGGGAGTTATACTCGACCAAACAACGTGTATAAGGTGTCTTTGGATAGCTTTTGAAGTCTATTTTCATATTTGAGTGGCCACAGTTCGAGAGGAGAAGTCAATCATCCAAAAATCGATCTGGAACGAGCAGAGGTCTGTGAACTCGAGCTGTGAGAGTGCTGAGACTGTTTGGCCAATATCTCGAGTTTTACCAATCCAATTAAGGCGTGTGAGATACCAAAAGAAAGCTCTCAAGACGAGGAATCCGTGAAGGTCTGGTTTGCATCAATCGGAGTAGAGGAAGGCTTCCAAATCGTCCGAGCAGAACGAGACCTCGCAGGGACGGATTTACTCTTCTAAGTGAGTTGTTAATCCCAAAACCTTTCCATTCATTTTCCAAATGATATGAACGATTGGTGGGACTATTATACACTACTCCAAGTGTATAAAACATCCCTATTAAGTTATTTTATTGATGTAAAGGTTAGATACTAACCTAGATGCAAACATTGGAAAACTAGGAATCGAGTTAGCCGGAAAACACCCGTTCTAGGGGCTGTTTTAGTATCAACGATTCGGGGTTGAAATAGCAACTTGAGGAGGCTGTTTAGCACCCATTTTCAAGCAAGGAACTAGTTCCCAATCTTCCTTGGCCGAGGCTTTAGCCATTGGATCGAGAAGGAAGGTTTTAAAGCTCATTTGAGGTGAGGATCGACATCTAGTTGCTTACAACTTGTAGGTTAAGCATGAGATTACCTAAATGCTTAAATAATGTTTTCCATGGATTATGATGATAACCTATTGATGGAATATTGATCTATTTTCCAAAGAACGAAATAAGAAATGATTTGGTAAAGTATTGATGAAAATGGAGTTAAATGAACTATTGTGTGAAATAGGCATTTTACTCATGTGTGAATTGTGTAGATACATAAATGATTATTTATGTATTACATTGAATGATTAAGTTGCTGCTACATATCTCTAAATATGTAGGGTTTTACAAATGGAATATATGATTGATAAGAATAATCTTAATAGTATTGAAATACTAGTTAATGATTGTTGAAATTGTTGAAGAATTGAATCTAAGGATTTGATTGTAATTGATGAACTTGATTGTGATGCAAGTGACTAAATTGATGTAATGTGATGCTAAGACCATGGTTGGGCAGTCCGTAGGGATGTCCCAAGATAGATTATTGATATTACAATTCTAGGCCTAGTGAGTGCTTAGGAATTGGGGTCTATGCCAATGTAAGGAGATGTACTTGAGCCCGTGCTCATAGAATTGCATTGGGTAGACATGATGAGGTGATTGTGTGCATGGGGATGTAGTCGAGTTGGACTCGAGAATGCACGGTGGAGTAGTTAGCTTATGTTAATTAAGGTGCATGGTGATGTAGTCGAGTTGGACTCGAGAATGCAAACATATGTGTTAGGGTTGAACCCTATGTATTGTTGTGACTAGGGGTCACGGGATTTTGGAAAAATGTTTTATAACAAACATGGGCCTTTGAGCCGGCTACTTGACTTTATATAAAGTAAGTATATATTTTGAAAGGGGTAATTTGAGATTACGGCCTATACTATATTATCACCCTATTTGAGGGTCTTGTGTGTGAAATACTTGTTGTATATCTATTAGATGCCTGCCACACCAGCACTTTATAGCCCTATAGAGTGCTGACCCCTTCGGGGGCGTCCCACCACCATTTTTCAGGTTGAGGCTAGAGCTTGCTTCCTGTGCTCGTTGCTCGAGAGATCATATAGGAGGGAAGACTTGGTTCGTGCTTCCTCCATTCTGTTTTTTTAACAATAATAAACATGCTCATGGATATTTTACTATAGAGCCTGCGTGCTCATGAATAGCCATGTGTGGCCCTTTTGTTTTAAACAAAGTTTTCCGCTGCGTTATGAATTACTTATTATGTTTGTTTATGGATGTACATGTGTGAATGATATTCAAGACGCCTTGTATAATATGAATGTGTTGGACTGCGGTTGACTATTCGTATTGTACGGCGGGTTGTTGACGTGTCCGGATAGGTCCGGGGCGTGACAATTAAGTTGGTATCAGAGCCTTAGTCCATAAACTTCATAATGAAGTCTCAAAATTCTCTTTTTGAAAAAGATTTTGAAAACCATGAGCATAGGAGTTTTGTACTTGGAGAGCTTTTGGTACTTGGGTTGCAAGGTCTCTAATTGTTAAGATGGTACCCTTAGCAATTGGCATGGCGGTGACTCGAGCCAAAACGTGTCTTAAGTACCTATCCGTCAATTGACATTTGATACGAGTCTAATGACTCTTTCCAAATTTCTTTCAGAAATGGACGGTGGTGGCAGGATTACTAGGAGAAACCCGACGGGCCGTGTACCAGTGGAGACTGGACAGGGCAGTCGAAGGACCTCTAGGGCGTCTAGGGGAGCTGGCCGTGGAGGCCGATCACAGACCGTGAGTGACGGTCATGTTGACACAGAAAGTGAAACCTACTGGTCCTATGAGGACTCAACTTACCAACCGGAGACCGAGCCGGTTGAGACCCCTTACGAAGGGGATGACGATGATATAAGTGATGAAGAAGGGGAGAATGACTCCCTAGCCAGAATCGAGGCGCTGCTCCAACAATATCAGCGGGAGCGCGAAGAAAGGAGGGAACGCCGAAGGCGCCGGGGAGGGCGAACTTTGGGTGGGGCTTCAAGAGGAAGAAGCCAAGGCGACTCTAGGGCCCACATTGAACCACATGGGGGCCGGGGTGATGGAGGTCCGATCATAAGGATCTCAAAATTTCTCAAAGAGGCGAGAGACTTGGGGTGCAAACCCTTCAACGGAGCAGGTGACATCTCGGTTGCCGCGGAATGGATCAAGAGGCTGAACGAAGCAGCCCTTGATATGCAACTCACCCCCGAGTTTAAGCTAAGGGTGGCGGTGAGGTTGCTTGAAGGGATGGCATCCACATGGTGGGACGGAGCCAAGGGAAAGTATGGCAACACGGTGACTTGGGAGAATTTCCGACAGGAGTTCTTTGCCCAATATTATTCTGATTTTGAGGTGAACGCCAAGAGGAGAGAGTATACCCTCCTGACCCAAGGGGGCAAAATGACGGTGAGGCAACTTGAACACAAATTCAGGGAGCTCGCGGAGTTCATACCGGAGTATGTGTGTGACGAGAACCGGATGGTAAATCACTTCTGGGATGCCTTAGACCTGGAGGTGCGTGAGAGGGCAACACAGTTGCCTAACATGACTTTTAGCCAAGTGGTCGAGCAAGGGTTAAAAGGAGAGAAAGAATGGGAGGAAAGAAAGTTGAAGAACGCCGAAGAGGCAAAGAAGAGGAAGTGGGAGAACCATGGGCATCAAGGTCCTAGCAAAAAGGGGAACCGTGGGGGAGGGGGATCTTTTCGGACACCCCCACTGCCACCTAGGGAAAGTCATGGCCCGGGCGGGCAATCACAAGCCTCGGGGGTGACTCGTTGCAAGAATTGCAAGAGGAACCACCCGGGGAAATGTCGTGACCCTCCTAGATGCTACCAATGCGGGAGCACCGGTCACATGAAGATGAGCTGCCCACAACTGGGCGGGACGAGGGCATCAGGGCCAAGTAGTGGTAATACCGGGACACGGAATCAAGCCGGGACTTCACAAGCGTCCAGGGGGCAAGGGGGAGCAAGCGCAAGCAACGCGCCGTCCGTGAATCAAGGAAGGACTCAAGCTAGGGTCTACGCGATGACGGAGGCGGATGCTCAAGCTAACCCGGATTCCGTTGCAGGTATTGCCTCTCGTATACTAGTGTTTTATCCTTAATTAGTCCATAAATTGAAGTTATAAATCCTAGAATCCAGGTGGGAGCAGACGTAAGATTGAAATGGGAAAGGAGAGCAAAACCATGCTACTACCCGATCGGGGTAGGGCAATAAACCCTACCGGGTGGGACGAGTTTTTGCCCTCGTAAACCTTCTGGATCGCATACCCGATCGGGTTTGGTAATGAACCCGACCGGGTAGGACAAGTTTTTGCACTCATAAGTCCACTGGAACACATACCCGACCGGGTATGGTGGTATACCCGACCGGGTTTGTCAAAAATTTCTGCCCGACACCTTCTGGAACACATACCCGACCGGGTATGGTGGTATACCCGACCGGGTTTGTCAAAAATATCTTCCAGACACTTTCTGGAACACATACCCGACCGGGTATGGTGGTAAACCCGACCGGGTTTGTCAAAAAAATTCTGCCCGAACCCACTGGAACTTATACCCGATCGGGTATAGTATGTTACCCGACCGGGTACACCTCGAAGTGTTCGTCAAATGAAAAAGTTGTCTTCATGAAAGTTGTAGATATTTTCATTGTCTAAATGATGGAATTTGAATCGAACGATTTGGTTAAGTATGTGAAGAGTTATGATCAAAACGGTGAGACAGTGTCAATCTATATCTCAACTGCGAACGTCAACCATAATTGGGGGATTTTGCCCACTTTAAGGACATGATTTCGCATTATGTTCTTCGTAGGATTGGTCGGTATGTTAGAGAGGTATCTTACATGGTTTATAAATGTAGGAACACTAAAGATTAATGGGAGATGTGCGAGAATCCTCATCGATACCGGGGCGCAACGATCATTTGTGAGTGAGGCATTCGCCGGGGGATTCAACGCACCCCTGGTACCGATGGCTCAAGCCCTATTGGTATCCACACCCCTAGGGGAAGACATCGAGAGAGATAGCCACTATCCATCGTGTGAGGTGGAAGTGGAGGGCCAAAACTTGTCGTGTGATTTCGTGCCGCTGAGTATGATTGAGTTCGATGCAATCCTGGGGATGGATTGGCTTGAGAAGCATCATGCTAGGGTCGATTGTTACACGAAAGTACTTGAACTCGAAGGCAATGAAGGGGTAACCTTACGCTTCGAGGGGGATAGGGCAAAATCCAATAGTTGTATCATATCCGCCGTGAGGGCTAAGAATATGATGAGGAAGGGGTGTCACGCATATCTAGCGTATGTGGTGGACAAAACCAAAGAAGATACGAGCATTGATGATGTTAGGGTAGTATGCAAGTATCGGGACGTCTTTCCTAAAGACTTACCGGGACTTCCACCCGATAGGGAGATTGAGTTCGTGATCGAGGTCGAGCCCGGCACCAAACCAATCTCCATACCGCCATACCGTATGGCACCCGCTGAACTTAACGAGTTGAAAACCCAATTGCAAGAGCTTTTGGATAACGGTTTCATTAGACCAAGCCACTCCCCGTGGGGAGCACCAGTTCTTTTTGTGAAAAAGAAAGATGGGACACTTCGAATGTGTATTGACTATCGTCAACTGAACAAGGTCACAATCAAGAATAGGTATCCTTTGCCTAGAATTGATGACTTGTTTGACCAACTACGAGGGGCAACCGTGTTTTCAAAGATCGATTTGAGGTCGGGTTACCATCAATTGAAGATTAAGGAAGACGACATACCAAAGAGTGCTTTCCGCACAAGGTATGGACATTTTGAGTTCCTTGTTATGTCGTTTGGATTGACAAACGCCCCAGCGGCATTCATGGACTTGATGAACCGAGTATTCCATAAATACTTGGATCGATTCGTGATTGTGTTCATAGACGACATTTTGATTTACTCAAAGAGTGAGGAAGAGCATGAAGAGCACTTGATACTCGTTCTTGAGACACTACGGGAGAAGCAACTTTATGCCAAATTTTCTAAATGTGAATTTTGGCTAAAGGAAATTGGCTTTCTCGGGCATGTGGTTTCGGGATCGGGAATTGCTGTTGATAATAAGAAGATAGAGGCCATTACCGAATGGGAGAGACCAAGGAATGTCAAGGAGATTCGTAGTTTCCTTGGATTGGCAGGCTATTACAGAAAGTTCGTGGAAAAGTTCTCTGTTTTGGCGTCGCCGTTGACGAAGCTCACTCGAAAGGGAGCTAAGTTTATATGGGATGACAAATGTGAGAAAGGATTCATCGAACTAAAGAAGAGATTGACCGAGGCACCGGTACTTGCATTACCCAAACAGGGTGTGGGGTACGATGTCTATAGTGACGCGAGCATCCAAGGGTTTGGGTGTGTGTTGATGCAGGAAGGGAGGGTAATTGCCTATGCTTCACGACAGTTGAAGAAGCATGAGGTAAATTATCCTACCCATGATTTGGAGCTGGGAGCAGTGGTGTTTGCACTGAAGATTTGGAGACATTATCTCTACGGGGAGACATGTCACATATACACTGATCACAAGAGCTTGAAGTACGTGTTTACTCAGAAAGAGCTAAACATGAGACAGAGACGGTGGATGGAGCTGATAAAAGACTACCATCTAGTGATAGAGTACCACCCAGGCAAGGCAAATGTGGTGGCAGATGCTTTGAGCCGGAAGAGCTCGTCTGGGGCATTGCTAGCTAATTTGAGGGCATTAAGAGCCCAACTGGAGGTATCCAGCGATGGTGCCTTATTGGCACGATTTGAGGTGAGACCTACTTTACTTGATGAGATCAAGAAGGGTCAGGAAACCGACGAAGAAATTATGAAGATCCGGGAACGCATGCAAGCGGGACCGGTGGAGGACTTCAGAGAAAGAGATGACGGTCTCTTATTATTTCGTGACCGAGTGTGTGTACCGGCAGATGAGGAGCTCCGAAAGTCCATCTTAGAGGAGGCTCATTCATCGGCGTATGCCATGCACCCGGGGGGCACGAAAATGTACCGTGACTTGAAAGAAAGTTACTGGTGGTCTGGGATGAAGAGGGAAATAGCCGAATACACTAGTCGATGCCTTACTTGTCAACAAGTTAAGGCGGAACATCAGCATCCAGCAGGCTTATTGCAGCCACTTTCCATTCCTGAATGGAAGTGGGAACACGTGACTATGGATTTCGTGGTAGGTTTACCACGGACAATCAGGAACTATGATGCAGTTTGGGTCGTTGTGGATAGGCTCACAAAGAGTGCACACTTCTTGCCTATCAACACTACCTACCCACTTGAGAGGTTAGCCAAATTGTATACGGATGAGATCGTGAGGCTGCATGGGGTCCCAGTGACCATTGTATCCGATAGAGACCCACGATTCACATCACGTTTTTGGCCGAAATTTCAGGAGTCTATGGGAACGAGGTTGAAGTTCAGTACTGCTTTCCACCCACAGACGGATGGACAGTCTGAAAGAGTCATACAGATCTTGGAAGACATGTTGAGGGCTTGTGCATTGGAGTTCCAAGGAAGTTGGGACAACCACTTAGCACTTGTGGAGTTTGCCTATAACAACAGTTATCAGGCAAGCATCGGCATGCCTCCATACGAGGCATTGTATGGGAGAAGGTGTCGTACACCGTTATGCTGGGACGAGGTTGGCATGGCCAAACTCGAGGGTACTGAGTTGGTTGAGGTCACCAAATCAAAGGTGAAGTTGATTCGAGAGAGACTCAAGGCGGCTCAGGATAGACAAAAGAGTTATGCAGATAAGCGTCGAAGAACCTTAGAGTTTAAGGTTGATGACGAGGTATTCTTGAAAGTTTCTCCTTGGAAAGGGATCATTCGGTTCCAAACCCGAGGAAAACTTAACCCACGATATATAGGTCCATTCAGAATTATAGAGAGGATTGGGGCCGTTGCATATTGTCTACAGTTGACTCCTGAGTTAGAGAAGATACATAATGTGTTTCATGTATCCATGCTTAAGAAGTATGTGCACGATCCCTCTCACGTATTGGAGAAGCCACCTGTAGAGGTACGTGAGGATTTGAACTACGCTGTTCAACCTATCAAGGTCACCGATAGAAAGGTGAAGAAGCTGAGGAGCAAAGAAGTCCCAATGGTTAAAGTCCTGTGGAAGAGCGATCGGGTCGAGGAAGAGACATGGGAAACAGAGGCTTTGATGAGGAAGCAGTATGCTTTCTTATTCGAGTAGAGCTGTGAATTTCGGGGACGAAATTCCTGTTAAGGGGGGGTGAACTTGTGACACCGCACCCGAACGTCCTTGAAAATTCGATTTAAAAATTCCAAAGTGATGTATTGAATTTCCGATTTCAAAACAATGGAAGAAACGATTAATATTTTACGAAGTATATGATTGAATATTGTATTGTTCAAACCCGCATTCGTTTGTAATTTTCATAATGTAAATTATTGGGATGAGCCTACACATATTGGAGATCAATAATGTGATTTAGGAAGTTGACTTGTTCTAAATAAATTAGGATGAGTACAAAAAGACATCTTTTGACAAAGATAAAACAATAGGACCCATTTTCCCCATTTTTGGAAGTATTGGTAGATAATTTGGATCCCAAATTAATTGGGATCAATTGGGAACCACTCCACATGATTAGAGTACCTACAAAACAAGAAAATTAAGTGAGGAGACTTACCTTGGCCGCACCAGCTGGAGGAGGGCTGCACAAGACTTGATTGGAATCAACCTTGAGACCCACCTTGTCAATTTCCGCACAAAATGGTGTGCTGTTTGTCTCCACTCATTATGGGAGTTATACTCGACCAAACAACGTGTATAAGGTGTCTTTGGATAGCTTTTGAAGTCTATTTTCATATTTGAGTGGCCACAGTTCGAGAGGAGAAGTCAATCATCCAAAAATCGATCTGGAACGAGCAGAGGTCTGTGAACTCGAGCTGTGAGAGTGCTGAGACTGTTTGGCCAATATCTCGAGTTTTACCAATCCAATTAAGGCGTGTGAGATACCAAAAGAAAGCTCTCAAGACGAGGAATCCGTGAAGGTCTGGTTTGCATCAATCGGAGTAGAGGAAGGCTTCCAAATCGTCCGAGCAGAACGAGACCTCGCAGGGACGGATTTACTCTTCTAAGTGAGTTGTTAATCCCAAAACCTTTCCATTCATTTTCCAAATGATATGAACGATTGGTGGGACTATTATACACTACTCCAAGTGTATAAAACATCCCTATTAAGTTATTTTATTGATGTAAAGGTTAGATACTAACCTAGATGCAAACATTGGAAAACTAGGAATCGAGTTAGCCGGAAAACACCCGTTCTAGGGGCTGTTTTAGTATCAACGATTCGGGGTTGAAATAGCAACTTGAGGAGGCTGTTTAGCACCCATTTTCAAGCAAGGAACTAGTTCCCAATCTTCCTTGGCCGAGGCTTTAGCCATTGGATCGAGAAGGAAGGTTTTAAAGCTCATTTGAGGTGAGGATCGACATCTAGTTGCTTACAACTTGTAGGTTAAGCATGAGATTACCTAAATGCTTAAATAATGTTTTCCATGGATTATGATGATAACCTATTGATGGAATATTGATCTATTTTCCAAAGAACGAAATAAGAAATGATTTGGTAAAGTATTGATGAAAATGGAGTTAAATGAACTATTGTGTGAAATAGGCATTTTACTCATGTGTGAATTGTGTAGATACATAAATGATTATTTATGTATTACATTGAATGATTAAGTTGCTGCTACATATCTCTAAATATGTAGGGTTTTACAAATGGAATATATGATTGATAAGAATAATCTTAATAGTATTGAAATACTAGTTAATGATTGTTGAAATTGTTGAAGAATTGAATCTAAGGATTTGATTGTAATTGATGAACTTGATTGTGATGCAAGTGACTAAATTGATGTAATGTGATGCTAAGACCATGGTTGGGCAGTCCGTAGGGATGTCCCAAGATAGATTATTGATATTACAATTCTAGGCCTAGTGAGTGCTTAGGAATTGGGGTCTATGCCAATGTAAGGAGATGTACTTGAGCCCGTGCTCATAGAATTGCATTGGGTAGACATGATGAGGTGATTGTGTGCATGGGGATGTAGTCGAGTTGGACTCGAGAATGCACGGTGGAGTAGTTAGCTTATGTTAATTAAGGTGCATGGTGATGTAGTCGAGTTGGACTCGAGAATGCAAACATATGTGTTAGGGTTGAACCCTATGTATTGTTGTGACTAGGGGTCACGGGATTTTGGAAAAATGTTTTATAACAAACATGGGCCTTTGAGCCGGCTACTTGACTTTATATAAAGTAAGTATATATTTTGAAAGGGGTAATTTGAGATTACGGCCTATACTATATTATCACCCTATTTGAGGGTCTTGTGTGTGAAATACTTGTTGTATATCTATTAGATGCCTGCCACACCAGCACTTTATAGCCCTATAGAGTGCTGACCCCTTCGGGGGCGTCCCACCACCATTTTTCAGGTTGAGGCTAGAGCTTGCTTCCTGTGCTCGTTGCTCGAGAGATCATATAGGAGGGAAGACTTGGTTCGTGCTTCCTCCATTCTGTTTTTTTAACAATAATAAACATGCTCATGGATATTTTACTATAGAGCCTGCGTGCTCATGAATAGCCATGTGTGGCCCTTTTGTTTTAAACAAAGTTTTCCGCTGCGTTATGAATTACTTATTATGTTTGTTTATGGATGTACATGTGTGAATGATATTCAAGACGCCTTGTATAATATGAATGTGTTGGACTGCGGTTGACTATTCGTATTGTACGGCGGGTTGTTGACGTGTCCGGATAGGTCCGGGGCGTGACACTTTGTGCCTGAGGAGACAGGGCTTTGTGCCTGAGGAGTCAGGGCTTTAAATCCTAGTGATGGGTCTCAAGCCACACTCTACTAGGTATTTGATCATAAGTGCGTGATAGTGTGACATCCACCCGATAAAAGAAAGTATTTAAATAAATATAAATAGTATAAAATTAAAGAGTACGTATCTTTTGATGGGCTGAAATATTGGGCTGACTGGAACGAATAGCATCCAGCAGAACTCCTTGGGCCCATTTTAAATTGTAGAAGCCTTAGCCCATATCCATAGATTTGAGGCTCGATTTTTGGCTCCACGTAATCCTAGCCCACTGCTCCACCTCTTGTCCCATGCGTCCAGGGGAGTTTTTGATAGCTAATGTAACAGTCCATGTGCGTAGGTCCTCCAAACGATGCTGGGAGAGTGGGAGACCCTCTCTTCAAATGATGCGTAGGTCCTCCATGTCGGCAGAGTTATTGATAGCTAACAGTCCATGTGCTGGGAGACCCTCTCTTCAAACGATGTTGACAGGCCTTCAGGTAATCGGATAACGCGTGGCCTGCGTTCATCCTCTGTTTTGGCCGGAAACAGATGGGAACCTCGCCGTCATCAAAGTTAGGGCGGCCCTCTTCAGCTCGGAGTATCTCGCCTGGGGGGTCCCTCATCACGCTACCAGGTCTCGGCGAGCAAGCCCAGCAGACCTCGACGGCGGGCTAAGCGGTGATAGGAGTGGTGGAGCTGGTCTCGATGTCGTACAACATGCGTCAGTCTCAACTCTGCTGCCGGCCGTGTGTCCAGGTCTAGACGGAGATCTGGGACCGTAGGTTCTTCAGGCCGCATGTTTACAGGGGACTTCGTGGCTATGGCGGCTATGACCTGAGCCGGCGGGGACGCCGGACCGGGAGCGGAAATGAAGAGAATCGCCATGACACAAAGAACTGCGTTCATTTCTTTAGATGGTGCAGCTAGCTTCGGCCGGTGGAGCGCAGTGGTAGCGTGGATGGTGATAGGCAGACGGTGCACGGCGGCGGTGTTGACGGTGGACGGCGACCCGGATCTTAGACTTCCACATTTTCTTCTTGTCGTTCGATTTCCAGATCTGTTTAGCTTCAGTTTATAAAGAACGGTGAAAGGCGTTGATATGAAGCTAGAGGTCAGTTCGAGCTACCGGTGCCATCATTATGCGGTGAGGTACGGCCGGCTGCAGATTTTTTTTCTTTCTTGAACACAATCTGTTTAGCTTCAGATTTTTTTTTTTCCTTTCAGGATGAATTCGAATACTTTCTTGGCCAGAATTTCGTGATTGAGATGAATTCTTGGATATTCGGGGAGGTTTTCTCACTTGATTGTGTTCAACCTCTCAACGAGAGCACCATTGTTGGATAATTGATACCCATATTGTATAAACAGGAGAATTTGAACAATAATCAAGAAGAAATAAAGAGAGAGTATAGAATGAATATTGGTATTTGTTGTTGAGTTGTAAGCCTCCTATAAGGAGTATATATAGGGAAAATCCGGGTGTGGGCCTCTAATATGGGCCTGACAGACCCGGTTATATAAATGGACTGATAGTATAAAAAGCTAATCTAGAACATCTGAATAATAATAATAATGTACAATAATATTAATGATATCCGCTAAACGTGTGTGGGCCGCTGTCCAGGCCTAGTAGTCGGCATACCGGGGGGTCGGAGTCCATATAATCCATCAGGGACCAACCGAAGAACATGTATAATTGGATCATACACACCCAACCGGTCCAATATTTCCTAATGCCAAGCCGGGACCTCCCCAAAATAACCTATAGACCGGAGTTCGAGGTGCCTCACTACCTTTTCCCACACGCCCTCCCACCACATCTCCAAGAACCTCAAGATCAAGACCTCCCCGACAACCAACCCGACCAAGAACCTCAACCCGAGCAACAAGAACCCGAAGATGCACTTCACCACATGCTCAAATACAACCAAGCTCCCCCACCCCCCGATTACTTCCAACAACTACTTGACGGATTCAACAGAGTTACCAATGAAGTTGGGAGATATCGGGAGGAACAAAGAGAGGGATTTCAAAGACTTGAGGAGCAACGGGCCGAAGACAACCGAAGGTACGAAGAAGATCAACGTAGGTTCTATGGACCTATGTACTCTTACATGGCTCATCAAGGCCAGTTTAACACCATGGATCAACCACCCCCACCCCCTCTTGGTATGACCCCACTCAATGGGGTAATTTTGGAGGATCTATCTCCGGGGGTGGAGGTTATGATGGCGGGGACGGAGGAGATACTCACATGGGGGGCGGAGGCTATGGAGGCGGATTTGGAGGCGGTTGCTATGGCGGAGAAGGCGGGCACTAGGGACAGTGCCTGAGCTAAAGTGTGGGGGAGGAGACTCATCATGGGTATGTAATCTTATTTTCACCCTTTACTATGCATGAACTTCTTTTACTCTTTGTAAACAAAAAAAAAAACGGGGAATAAAAGAAAAAGTAAATGCTAGTTATGTTGAAAACCCAACAATGGACAATCTAAGCAAAAAAGGCTTATAAAAAGAAATGAGTGAGTAGGGAGAATGGAAATGAAAAGAGATGCTAGGATGAAAACCTGAAAAGGCTCCTAGGCAAAATGAGAGATATGAGAGAAATATTTTTTTCTGTGTGCAGGAACTCAGTTGATCTCTTGGGAGAAAAAGGAGAAGAAAAAGAAGAAGAGAAGAAGCAAAAGAGGCAAGAAGATGGAGCATAGAAGATCATAAAACCCAAGAAAGAATGTTGTTTGTAAAATCATTTTGTTTTTGTGATCTTAGTTCCTTTCTTCCTTGAACTCATGGAACGATCTTGAACTGTTCGAAACATTTTATTTTACTCGAGGTCGAGTAAAGAACTAAGTGTGGGGGAGTTGATACGTTTGTAATTTCTGTATGTTTATTTACGTTTTTAGTTAGTTTTGTTTGTTTAGTATTTCGGAAATTACACACTTTTGGTGCAATAGTTTAGTTTATTAAATTCTTGTAAATTGTTTAGATTAGGTTTATTCTGAGCTTAAACAGGTCCAAAGATCAATCAAATGATCATTGGTGGAGGAAGGTGCAAGAGTACAAGACAAAGAAAAGGAAATCCCGATTTTTGTATATACTCGGTCGAGTATCTCTCATACTCGATCAAGTATCTGGTTGAAATTTCAAATCGGATCGGATCCGAAAACAAAGGAACATGCAGAAGAAGATTTCCCCACGATCGAGTGTCTATACCCGATCGGGTACACCGACATACTCGATCGGGTATAGCTATGAATTCTACTCCAAATTTGATCGAGTATGGATCGAATTCAGCTTTCTACACATACTCGATCGAGTACGTGTATATACTCGATCGAGTACCCGACCTGCACCCCAAAAAAGCCTATAAATAGGCCTCCTTTCCTTCACAATAGGATCACCAATTCACATATACTTCTTAGCTCAGTTTAGACAAGTTCTCTCTTTATATTTTTCATTATGTTTAGTCTCCAAATGAGGAGCTAAACTCTTCCATCTTGGTTTTGCTACTTTGAAGCTTAATGATTTGTAAGTTGTGAGTCATTTTCTTTAATCTTCTTCCTTGAATATTAATTACTTCCTATTTATATCCCATATTAATATATTGAGCATTACTTAAAGTATCAACTAGTCTTGTTCTATATATTAATTATTACTAGAATCAATCGGTTAATACGCTTGTTATTAATTCGGTTCTTTCAATGGTAGTAAACTTGGATTGTTAATGCATGCTTCTCATGGTTAATAAGCCAAGGGGAATTAATTATATTGATTAAACCAATAAACCGCTTGTGTTGAGGTTATCAATCTCAATCGTTTTCATCTTAAGTTTATTGCTACTATCAAGTTAATGTATGACACTTGTTCTATATTAACTCGATAGTAAGTTTTATTAATGAACGCATCTCGTTATTAATAACTACCCTCGATGAGCTGGATATACTCCTCGATTGAGTATTCGAGAGGAAGATAGTTAAGGATATAACCGGGATCGACGAACATTTCATTAAGTGGATAAAAGCAAAACCAAGTCTTCATCTCTATTAATTAAACCACATAAGTCGTTCATCTTTGTGTTAAATATAATTTAAGTTCATCAACCAAACATCAAAACCCCCCTTTGTTACTATTTATTTCCATAAAAAAGAGAAGTATTCCTTTCCATGTGGATACGAACCTTACTTCATTATACTACGTATAATTGTTGTATTGAATATTATTTTGAGTGTACACCACGACAAAGTGCACGTCATTGAGATAGGGGGACGACGATCACTTTCAGTTGCATGTCCCAAAAAGTCATCCATGAATTATGTGAGTTTGTTATTACATAATATATATGATTTTATTTTTATTCATATAGGACCATCAATTTTGCATTTTGAACGGCCATGTTACTCCAAGATAAGACTTTTTCTATTTGTGATCAAAAGATTTGTTATAGTAACTACTTGAACAAAATTAAAGAAACGACAAACCAAACTCTATATTTCTCGCAATTAACATACGGAGTACTACGTAAATATTATCTAATGTCATTATCTTGTGAATCACAACAAATCTAGCATTAGCCATTAATCTTATAGTATCAAGAATTAAAAAACCTAAAAATACCTAATAATGATTAATAAATAAAAAGTTTGTTCGGTTTAATTTTTACACGTGAAAATCAAAACCAAACAACTATGTCCAAATCATCTTTGAGTTCAATTTCCAGTTTGATACGTTTTTTATGATCATGTCCATCAATCTAATCAAAGAGAATCTTAAAAGCAGGGGTGGAGCTACTGGGGTCAGGATGGTCAGCCAATCCCGCTGAAAATTTAAGAGTGTAGAGCTTTAAAATATCTTCGATTTGATATATTATGACTCTCGTAACTCATAATGAGTAAAAAGTTATGACTTCTGCAAAATCAAAACTATTTAAATTTGAAATTAGTAAAATTGTGATGTGTAATATTAATTATATTCACAAAATAACGTGTAATTCAGTCGTTACTTTTGTGACATGACTTAGGGACGGAGCAAAGACAACATATCTTACTGCTACGAGTGCCTACTCAATAAATGATTCTTTTCTAGTAAGAAATCTAGATACTAAACTGAGTAAGATCGAAGAGAACCATAGAGTACTAGGGTAAGACAATGGGTCTCATCCGAGGTACTCAATTCAACCCGTATAAAACAAGTTTATAATATATGTGACATATACGAAGTATATTAACTGCATATACTCTATTAGTTTCATTTAAACTATCATTTATCTAAGCTACATTGAATTCGGGTATTGCCTAAAAATAATCTACCGTTTTGATTCAATGTAAATTTGATTTTGACCCCTCTAAGTCATTTTTCTGGCTCCGCCCATGCTTAAAAGTTTGATATTCAATTGGGAAAATTGTCTAATAGGTCGTTGTACTATATTTAAAAAGTCAATTGAATCCTTCTACTATTAAATCATTCAATCAAGTCCTCCAACTTTCAAAATGATACATTTAACCGGTAATGTGCCGGTTACCAGGTTAATATGCATATGTGGCAGCTACATGGCACCAAGGTGGCTAATTTATTCTTTTTGCTTTTCTTTCTTTTTTCTTTCTCCTATGCCTTTCTTCTTCCTCCGTATGCGACGCTTCGCTTTAGCTTCTACATTATTTTTCTTTTACATTTTTTCACCTTTTATTCCACTGTTTTAGTATACACGACACCCTAATAATGCTAACAATGCGCAGCTCTTGGAATCCGTCGGCGGACTCCGGCAACTGACGCCAGAAGAGAACACTGGCAGGGACTCTGGCCACGGACGACGGCAACAATGGTGTTTAGAACTTCCGGTTGACGATGCTCGTTACCTCGTCTCTCTTCATCGACAAGGCGACAAAGGCATAAAAATATCCAGATCCTAAAGAGCTAGAGGAAGAGAGGCAGAGGGCTTGGCCGCGCGTTGGCCGGCGAAGATGGAGTCAAGGGAAAGGCAAAAGAAAGAAAGAAAGAATCAAAGAAAGAGAAAGAAAGAAGTCGAAGAACTACTTCCAGAAAGAGAGGAAGAAAGAAATTAGAAGAAAATAAAACTAGAAAAAGAGACAAAAAAAAGCTAATGCCACCTACATTTCCACGTCATTGGTCACCGGCAAAATTTAACATTAAGAGCATCTCCAATGCAATCATATCTAGTCTAAATAATTTATGCCACATGTTAAAAACTTAAAAGGCTTTCTAATCCACATAATGCATAGTGAAGTGATTGAGTATTAATTAATGGAATAAGTCTCCAATGCATAACGTGTTACAACCCATAATAATGCATAGTGAAGTGATTGAGTATTAATTAATGGAATAAGTCTCCAATGCATAACGTGCCATGTGGAAGTAATATATATTAATATAAAACTAAATCGTGGGGTTTTTATCCGAGTTTTTATCCGTGCATGAAGGAAGTTTTCAGGAAATAAAATTCCTTTCCGTGGAATTTTCAAAAAACAGCGTGCATTTCATCCGAGTCAGCAAGTGTTGAAGCCCGTCTATGCGCACACATTACTCTTCACAGTGTGAAGGTTTTTTGTTGACAGGTCAGCAAACCCTGTTCACGGACTACCAACGTTGGAGCACAAAATATTTAGTCCATGTCTACTTTTATTACGTGGCATGTTTTTCTTAGACTAAACAGTCCGGCGTCGCAAATTATACCGTACAACCGGCTGTACGGTGAGCACCGTACAGCCGGGTATTTTTGAAATTAAATTGAACTTGCAAGCTTACAGGAGTTATAGCTACGGTGCTCTGCTTTCTCCAATTCTTCTTCAGTAGCCGTGTTTTCTTAGCCGCATGCCTGCAGTCCGCACGTTGCCTGCTCTGCTTTTTTTTTTAGTTTCTCTTTTCATTTGTTTCTTTCTTTCGTTCGTCTCTAGGTTACTCTTTTACTTGTTTTCTTTTTCTCTTTTTCTTTACTTTTTAATTCAAGAGCCTTTTGCTTTAATTTTTATTCAATCATTATGAAAATTTATAATATAAAATATTAATATGGTGTCGAGTTTTTTTTCTCCTTTTTTCAATCATAATTCTAACATCATTTTTTTAATTTGTTGTTTTTTTAGGTATAAATGTTTTGTCTTTCTATTTTTACTTTTAAGATAAGTATTTATTAGTTATTAAATATTGTGTGTCAATTACTAATATGAGTTTTGTGTTATATTAAAATGAGTATAATGTAAACTAAATATGCACAAATAAACATTTGAACATATTAGAGAACTCAAACAAGCTTTTAAGTTTTTCGATAATCATTTAATTTGTAAACCATGTATGTTCATTTGGTACTGGTTTTATGCTTATTTTAAAATTTCATATTAATGCATATTTAATATATGCATTAATATGAAATCGAGGCGGGATTGTGAAGCCTTGGTCGGCCATTCTGACGGTGGAGGAGGTTGTATTCACCCATATTTTAAGAGCTCGTCCTCCTCCGGAACCACCTCCATACCAGGAAGAGCTTTGTGAAAAGATTTTATTTCAGTATTATTTTCTCTTTAGTAGCACTTGTTTCTGTTTTACTCCGAGTAGATTTGGTTTGAATGTTTGGATTTTTGGAGTTCTTTTGATAGGCAGGTTTCGGTTTCGATCGTTTTAGGCCTAAATTTTCCTGTTTCAGGTTTAGTGAGTCATGTTGCTTTGTATGTGTTCACGCTAGGATCTGTAATTTCTGTTTGAGGTTGTCTTGTATGTGTTCTCGATTTTAAAATAACGACAGCTCTTTTATGATAAAAAAACTTGGTATATGTATATATAGAATTTAATTCGCATAAAAAGTATTTTATATGTGAAAATAAGCACTAATATAATTTTGGCTACTGATGTG